AATATTCAGGAATATCATCATCAATTTCTCCATTATTAAGGAAAAAATAAATTCGAAAAAACTACTTACAGATTGTGCGTGAACAACAAAACATAATAAATGAAGGAAGAGTTCGGTATCTTCGTTATGGACGTCAACGTCGACGTCAATTCATTAATCAACCACCAAATGCCGGAATTCGACAAAATCATGAAGAATTAAATAATAATCAAGCAAATATTGAAAATGTTTAATAGCTTTTCTCATCCCTCTTCTATTCCTATTTCCTCTCCCAAATTGCAGTATATGTAATATTTAAATTTCCAATACAATTTTGCCCCTCAAAGTTTACTAATTTTTCTTCGCCTTTTAATTTTAACAATATGATTTATATTGTAATGTATTGATGCATAATTACCCAACTACCCAAGTGGATAATTACCCAAATCAGATGAATTTTTGTGTAACACGTCATATCATGTACAATCTAATCTACTGAAATATGCGTATCTCATTTTCAACATAACGATCATATATTATTTATTATTATCGATTATTAATTACTAAGATACATCGGTTCGTAAAATCAATGCAGCATTTTTATAATTGATGCTGTATATAATATTGGATTGATCTGTTAATGAATTAGTGATAGATGAATTAGTGATAGGCATTGAGAGCTTTTTTAGCAAATATTGATCATGAAACGACAGTCATTTGCAAAATTATCTTTCGCAACACTTAGAAAAATGCAAACGCACCTTTTAGATTTTCTTCATCATAATGTTGATATAATTTTCCAAATGATGGTGAAAGAATGACAGTTATTCGAAATATGTTAACATTATGAACAATCAGAAATTAGTGAAATTAAGAAACAAACGTAGGAAACGCGAGTCACAAGATCTATCACTATACGTTTATAAGTGGCTATCTTCATCATTAACATATCTGGCTTATTGATTTTTTTACTTGTTGATTATAGTCTGAAACTCTGTAAATAAAAAAAATGATTTCATCAGCCAGCAGTCCCTGCCATTTTTTTCTCAACGGTAATCAAGATTTCCAATAAAAATCATTTTGTGAGTTTTAAACGCATTGAGATTATACTATAAATGGACATCGCCAAATTTCTCCCGAAATTCATCAGATTGAAGTTGGATACATCCTGCCCTCTGATATTAATTACATTTTTATTCTCTTTCTTGGTAACCAGTACCACGATAGGGAAACCTTTACTTTTGGAAATCATCGCTATAATTAAAGGTGGATTACATAAACTAATATTTCAGTGAAGCATGCCATTTATGATGGCACATAATTAATTGACGAATATAAATAATAATTTACTGAAAAACAATTATGATGACAATCATTTGGATACTTCAGAAATGAAAAAATCCATCAAAATGTAAGAAGATTCCAGGTAATCCAATCATTAAAAAAGTTTTGCCTGGAAAGTTGACAGATTTGCTGACAGATTGATTAACATTATTTTTCAGATAAAAGTGAGTCTCAAAAATAGTAAACAAATATTTTAATAATTTATCAATAAAACCTGATTGTGAAGAAAAAAATGCAGAAGAAAAAACACTGGATTTGAACCATCGCATCTTCAGAAGCAAACAATATCAGTTAGCACTAATACCAAGCTTGTAACGGTTTCCTCACAACCAAAACCATTTCAAAGATGGTTGAATCTATATCTTAGTAAATATTTTTCAGTAATCGGTAAAAGCATTGAGAGAGACACTTAAAAATATCACCGTTCTCTGGAAAATATGCCTAAGAAGTGTTGAAAATGGCGAAATCTGGAAGATACTAGTATGAAATCGAAATATCAACGCATAAAAATATACAGAAACAAATAATATTCAAAGAAAAAAAAGATAAATCACAGGATTTTTGTTCATCTCATTCCAATTAATCATTGCCATTATCTGATAATGATGATGTTGTAGGACCAAATTTCTGAAGCCTTCGTTGTCGAATTTCATCCAGCTCGGTAGTTGATGCAGAAGAACAAGCTGATGCTGTACTATTGACACCTGGAATTGACGAACTCTTACCCAATTTGGCTTCATTCGAACTAGCTCCCGATATATCGCTAAGAATAGGTTCATGGCACGAAGACCCATGAACTGAATTTTCGGCGACAGCGGAAGAAGCTGCGGAAGTTCCAGATAATGTTGCATCATTGGGTGATGCAGTCGTATCTCCATTTGTTGCTGCAGCTGTATAAGTCGGAACACTGTAAAAACGGATTTGATAGTCCTCTATAAATGCAAAGTTTGAATGCAGACATATCAGACAAGTAATCGATATGCGTATCCATATATTCAATGCGAAACCTTCATACATGTTTATAAAGCTTCAAAATTTCTAATTATCATATTCTTCTACCTGACAGATTCTATTCTCATTTTCAAAATTCAATTCCATAGTTCACCTGAACGACTGCACTATGATCATGTACTGTTGTAGCTGCATTGTGGCCGCATCCAACAATAAACCAATATTACGAATACAATTGATACGTGCTTCGATAGCTGCTCGTTCGGTTCCTTCCATAGCAGCAACTTCTTCATCAGTTAGACCAACAAAACTGGGGACCGGTGGAAATGGAAACATTGGAGGCATCGCGAATGGTGGTGCTGCCTAAAAGAGATAACATAGGGGATGTATATCTGAGATACTTACAAAAGGGCTAAATGAACTGCTATAATAACTGAAATTCTTTTTCGTTCGAATAATGATTCTGTTCCATTTACAGTAAGTGGAAATGGAACTTTCTAATGTCATTTACTTTTAAATTTTTAACGGTTTCAAAGTTTACATGAAATTTCTCAGAATACAATGTAAAGGAAAACAGATGCTCCTAAAGAAATTGTGTTCTGATAAGAGAAATGGATTTAAAAAGCAAATAGTATTCGAAGATACTAGAAGTGGATATGCACCTAGTTAGACAATCACCATCAGAAAAAACTAAAGTAATAGAAATAAACTAAGAAAAACCAAAAAATTTAGCTGAACACATAATAAAAAAAATCTGTATGCAAAAAAAAAAGTGACGGTAGCAATTATTCTTTTTACCTGTTCTACAAAATCTCATATTCAACTCAACTATAATTAATCATTTTGTAAAGTCCTGATACTGCACTCTCAAAATTCATATGTCTTATTAAAGTAGTCCAGCAACTTACTTTTTCAGCAGAAATCAGTTACTATCACCACAACTTGAGGACAAGTTAACTAATTTATCGAGCATTAATCGGCTTTGAAAATATTCAGGCGATTAACAAACACGAATAAAAAATTTGCTATGAGAGCATCAACTACGTTTCGAAAAATTTATACATTTATAGCGTTACCTAAATGAAACACAGATATCAATCAGCTTCATTAAGTAAAACAAGGTTATTAATCAATAGAAATTTATTCACCAAAACACTAACCATAAATGGAAATCCGGGTGGTGTGGCTGGAAACTGAGGCATATTGAAACTGGAGGTAGGGGATGGCATCTGAGGTACACTGTTGCCATCATTATTTCGTAGACCAGCTGAACTGGTTCCAGCCTGTGGTTGTTGCTGTTGTTGTTGCTGTTGCCGTGGTTGCTGAGGAAAAGCGAACTGAGCCATGAACGGAAACATATTTGGAATTTCACCGCCATTATTTGCAGGTTGGACTCCTCCAACATTTTGTCGTCCTTGAATGGGTCCAGCTACAGGTGCAGCTCCTCCTGCAGCTGCCAGTGTTATTGGTGCTGCCCTTCGTTGTGCTGTAATTTGTTAATTATAAAAATATAGTTTGTTCGAGCAAAAATTTCTCAGATTTCAATGACAATAAAAATGTAAATTTTGTTTCTGAAAAAACTCAGACACATAGAAAGCTAGCAGAAATTTGATACGAAACGAGTTACACAACAAATGCAACCTAAAATATCAGTGCGGCAAGTGGGGCAGCTTTGTTGTCGTTGAAACCATGAACGAAGACAGTTTGCATGGAAAATATGGTTGCATGGTAGTTTTTTTGCTCCACTAACCGGTGTCATCTCCTCACGACAGATTATACATGTGTTGTCGCCTAAATAAAACATCAAGAGGAAAAAGACTCATATTACTGCAAAGCAAAAAAATAACTGAATAAAAAAGCAGAACTCTAAACATAGTGGAAGCTCCTGGTAATTCATAACTTTATCTGAATAGATCTCAAAGTATCTTTGAGATCTATTCAGATAAAGTTAAAAGTTAAAATTAAGACTTAGTGAGCAACTGAAAATTATCATTTTAATAATAAACAATTTACAAATGAAACGAAAGTGACTACTAAAATGGATACCCTGCAATAAATCCTGTTCAGTAGCTAGTGGAAACAGATTATTCATAGCATGTATAGCACGTCTTGAAAGTATAACATCATTGATTGCTTTATGGAATGCTCGAATAGTAAGATAAAGTGGACGGATTGAAAATAACGGGAAAGTATGTAGACGTATCATTACGGCCACAAAAATAATATATAAAATGCAACGAAGGCAATCTAAAAAATACCATTCAGTTATTTTCCCAAATAATGAAGAATTACACATGGGAATAACAGAACATCATTTTTTTGTAGCACTTTAGTGATTCATCAGAAAATTAAATGACTTTAAACATTGAGTATTTCATTTGTTCTATGGATAATTCGTCAGAAAATTTAAATGACCCGGAAATTTCGAAAGAAAAAAAAAGAGAAAACAAACACACTGATAAGGAGTTCCGAATAGAGCAAATAAACTGCTTTATTTTCCCATGGATGTACATTTCGTAAATCATGCATATGTAAAATATATTTAATCGTTACATGCAGCACAACTGTCATTAAGACTGCATACTGCAAAAAAATGATAATAATATTTGAAATTTTAGATGATTCATCAAAGGATAAGAATCACAAACGCTGAATAATGTCAAAAAGGTCTATATTATAGGCAGAAAGCGTTATCATTGAAAAATGGCTAGTGACATAAAAGTATTTGAAAATTTGAAATCAATACGGATATTTTCAATATTACAAGCATATATGTCACTGTGCTCATACTATAACTTGACAACATTGTTCAAAATAACCAACCTCAAACCCAAATACAATTTGCACGGATGCGCCGCGAACGAGTGTTGTGAAATATGCATGTGATATAAAATAGCTATCCAGAGCACTCAAAAAGGCAAGCAATGCTGAAATTTGTAGAAAATTATTTACAATTGCAAAATCATTTATTATTTCATTATAAAGTTAAATCTTATGATGTTGCCGAACAATAAAAAAACTGCATAAAGACAATTAAATCTAAATTTGAAGTTTAACTGTTCGATAACTCATTTAAGAAAAAACCCGAATTATTGATCCAATGGATTATGAAAATTTTAAATATTAAATTGAATCTGAAAAGCCTAAAATGTCAAATCAGCATGAAATATCAGAATTACACATTCGAGCAGGAAGATTTGAATTAAGTACAAAAATTAAGACAATGTTAAGAGCATACACATCATCCTGCAATGGAATAATACAGTTATAATTGGACTTCGCTCCATAAAATCCACTCTATCTTCGCTAAGCCAATGAAACAATTTGATAAAAAGTAGGAAAACAAATTGCATTACAAAACGAGGTGAGAAATCATCACGAAACACAGTAAATGCCAAACACGTCTCCATGATCGCATGCCATGTTCTCTCCGACAAATGCTATAAATAAAAAGCTTTAACTGGTATTAAAACTATACAGTTAGATACATATATTCAGGTTAGCATTAGCACTATCAGATATTTTCTCTGAAAATTCCGAAATCAACAAACCTAATGTATAATTTTAATGTACAGGTTTGAAATGAATTAAATGAATCCAACTTAAAAACTATTTTTGTCTTAACAATTTAAAAAATCATATATAAGCTAAGTGGACAACACACAACATCAAACAACATCAAATGTTCGGCGAATTTTAGTAATTCATCCTTTCTTTAATTTACCTTTTCTTTCCTCTCATTAGGAAAAACCTTATTTTTTCTGCAGATTATAACAGCATGCTCTAATATATTCTAATACAAACTAAATTAAATTAATTTGCAAAAATCCAATGCATACCTCATATTCAGCGGCACGTAATTCACCGAAAAATATTTTCCTAACGATTTGAAAAATCATGTATGCAATCACTAATCCTTGTACATACATCACCTGCATATATACGAAAATTTTCCAGTAAAACAATAAAAACTCTAGTAGCTCAGCAGACAAAGCTTTTTTCAATTTTTCAAAAAACTGATAAATTAAAAAATTGAAGATTTTTTAAAAAAAAAAAGAACTTACTGCCATGGAAGGACTACTTTTTGTAATATAAACAACAGATGGATAAAATTGCTTTTTCTGGAAAAAAGCGTTTCCAACGGTAAGCGAAGTGAGAATAAAACTTGTTATTGTCAAAAGAAAGGTCGACGCACGTGCCATTTGATGAAATATTCTGCAACAATAATTATAAAAATTAACTTCGGTGTAAATTTTTGTAGCATCATAAAGCTGAGAAATTCATTTTCAGCATGTCATTATTCTTAAAGACAAAAATAATGATAAAACAACGGGATTCATATACAGATGGCTTGAATTGACGACCGCTATTTTTATGCCTTTTGTAGTAACGAAGGAATACGTAGCAATTAAATTTTAAATTACTTCGACAAATATTTACCGAATGACTTATCATCCAGGTCACATCACTCCTATTATCACACTTTACGAAAATGCTGAAAAAAAAAAATAAACGGACGCCACTATTACTCTTTCTCTAACCCTTCATATCCTTACAAACTAGATTATACACTATCACTAAAATTCCAAACACAGTTTCCAGCAAAATGATTTATTCGAGATTTATAAAATTCATTGGAAGTAAACATAAGCACTCTTGTAATTATGCTCTGTAACTCTAAAATATTATTAATTATGGAAAATGGAATGATTGAACGATATATTGCTAAAAAAAGACATATAATGCCTTGAGCTTAATATTATTGTGAAAAAGATATTACAATATCGATGTCTCAAAGGTACACGAAATTTGCACAATATAAGATTAACAAATCTAATTAAAAACTGTAAATCACAGCATGTTCTTATCATTACTTTGAACTACTTACTAATTAGGAATATGAAATGGAACGATGTTGACATGAAATTTGATGTTAGATAAAACTTGATCATACACCGGATAACCATAGAATATACTAATCTTTTTAACATACACAACTACTAAGTAATTTACTAAATCTACCAATATGTTCTGGCCACAAATTTTATTAAAAAGACTATATATGAGGTACATCCTACAAACTAATCCTTTTAATGAAAATTGCATATTTTTTTAGTGAAATTCCAAAGTTCACTGGTGATTTTTTAAAGGGAAAACAAAAAATAATATTTGTAAGAGATTTTACGATATCTTTTCTAAATATCCGCAATCATTTCAATATGTTCATTGATAAGTTTATGAGATACGATTATTGCAAACATTGAATATTTCTTGTTATATAATTGTTGAATAACTAAACTAAGGTGAAAAACAATTATTATATGATCTCATTCATGCGCTAGAAAGAAAAGGAAAAAATGTGACGGGAAATAAAGGTAATGTATAATGTACCATGTAAAAATAATCTCAGCAAGTTATTTCAAATATTTTTATTTAATCGGAATTCTCAGTAAATACTTTTCTCTCCCTATTCAATAATACATCTGATATATTCTGGCAACAGTGATAATCACATCCAGTAAACAACCAAAATGATTGATAATATCGAATACTTTGCTAGCAAAAGAAGAATACGGCACAAAGCAATGAATTGACCATCTGGTCATAAGATTAAACTCTAAGCATAAATTTTGATTATTTTGTTACAGTCCAAAAATTTATCACTGAAACTATCATTTCGATTCCAATTTCAAAAAGGTTAAAAGCTTACAAAGCATTTTAATCATTTTTCTCAGGTTCTATTCCTTTATTGCGATTTAGGATACAATCAGTACATAAACTCGTCACGCTATCTACTTACTAAGTAGTAAATTTAATTTTTAGATGCTAAACTGTTCTTTTTTAATAGCATTTCCATTACCACTTAAAGATTTACAACTGTTTTATCAAAGCTTACCAGAAAAACCTGTAAATAATTTTGTCATACAAAATAACAATAAAAAAGGCAAAAAAGATCCACTCTATTTTTGATTTTTTTTAAATTCAGATAATAAATAATGAAAAATACAGATAAAGGCAATCATTCGATGCTTATTGAATCAATAAAGCCCGAAATCTTGGAAATTCTTCATTTACATCTAAACGATACCAAATAACAA